TACAATTTTTGTATGTCTATCTGTTTGTTTCGGCAAATCTCTGAAATGTCTGGACTGATTTTGACGGCACTTTTTTTGGCAGGTAGCTGATATATCAGCTACCTAGCTATAAGGAGTAACTTAGGCCACCTTTATTTAGAAAAAAAAAATATTTTAGAAAAATAAAGATAAATTCCACGCGGACGAAGTCGCGTGTACAGCTAGTTTAAAATATAAAGCAATCTTACACTATAGTGTCAGTTATTATAGTCCTGTGTTTTTTAAACTAAGGAACACTGCGATATTACAAGTTTCTCCTTGTCTAATTACTAACAGTTCCCAAAAAACGGTGATCAAAGTTTTCTAATTTTGTCTTCGAGTAACGGCCCTGGAAACTTGGCAATTAATTACTGCTACGTCTACCCCCAAAAACAAAAAATGTAATGTAATGTTTAAAAAGGAAATAATAATTATCACAACTAAGGTGGTGCAGCGTTTACATATAACATACTACCTACTGCGTCTCCAACGGTCCCAGGTTCGATGACCATAAAATATAAAAATTCTTATTCATAGCTATTGTTATACAATAACAATATTAAAGTATTAAGTATTTCTATCTGTTCTTTGGTACCCATTGGATAAACTTGTTTTAGGTTGGTACTAGACAGAGCTCTGGGACATTTCTTATAATTTAATATTATTTTAGAAAATGAGCTAAAATTACAGGATAAAAGACTACTAGTCCTTGAGAACGCACGAGTATACTCTCTACTACTACTATATCACATGATATCGTGATGTAGTGTTTATGAATTTATATAGGCTACCGTTTACCATTAAGTTTGCCGTCAGCCTCTTATTTTTACACATTCACACATTTTAATACGTAACTCGACTTTTATATATTTACGTGCTTTTGTCTTCATTAATATTAAAAGTAACCTATCTATGAATTGATAATTTTATCTCTAGATATGCCTATCTACTTATTAAAAGCTGCTAATGATAAGTAAACAAGATGCTTATCATAAAAAGTAGATTAATATAAAAAGTACTTAGTAAATTTATATGCGTAAATAATTGTTTCCTCAAGTTAAACAAACCATAAACTATCGCTCATATCATTTACTATGAAACAATGGGATTCTCAACAATTCATTCGGTTTTTTTAATGCTGGCCGAACCCATTTAGATCTTAGTGCAATGATACGTCACACACATAGGTCGAAATTACTTTTACATTATGTCGTTAACTCCACATTTTGTTTGTCTGCTCACGCGATAGGTGTTTTGTGAGTGATAACGATCCCCTGATGTTGTGTGAGGGGATTGACTGGAGGCATACTGAAGAAAGATGAAAAGAGGAGAATATAATAATATTTCTGACGACCTCGGTGGTCTAGCGGTTTAGCACAGCGCTTTACGTCCGATGGTCGCGGTTTCGATTCCTCGTACGGCACAAACATTGTATGATTCATGTTACGAACATTCATGAGTATTATTGTTTGTTTCGGTCTGGGTGTTTTCTATGTATAATATATGTATTTGTATCATTTATCTAATACCCATAACACAAGCTTCAGCTAGCTTAAGTTGAGTCTAGATGGCGAAGTGTGAATTGTGCTGAGATTATTATTATTATTATTTCTTATATTATTATATCCTCGTCCTTTCGTCCTTCTTAAGTACTAAAGAAGTTTTATTGTGAACGAAAACGTGCAAAAATATTAAGTAACATATCCTACGAATGTTATAGATGTGAGAGTTTATTTGAATGAATAAATTAAGATAGATATCTATTTCCCTCAAAATACAAAAGGGAACAATCTTGATGATCTTTTATTGTAATGTAGCGTATAAATCAAAATAATACATAGAGTTAATAAAATTTAAAATTTCGTCGTCACGTGGTCTGGAAACCATCCTGATAAATTACTACTGAATTTTTAACTACAGGTTGAAGCGCCTGACCTCATGCTCATCCTGTAACTCTCCACTGTACCGCCGTAACGTATAGTATATTGGTAGTGCAGGAATAAGTATCACATCATTATCATCCAATAAAAATATATAAATGAATTTCTCAAATCTGTTCAGTAGTTCCGTCGTTTACGGGAATGTAAACGACGGATAATAAAATCTGCTTCCTCTGTTAACAATATTCGTATAGATTCCATTTGAATAGTTGCCTCTCGAGTGATTAGTGTCAGCGAGAATATTCCTTGTACTTACCTATTCTACATACATTTAAGATCACTGATGCGATCGCTAAGTATATTATAATGAAGTTAATTTTATTGTTTCTATTTTCACATGACATTTGGGAAATGTCGTTTTGATGTGTGACGGAGGTCATACAATAAGTTGCATGTCGGCAAATCGCCGAGCATTTTAAAATATAAAATGTCTGTTTAATGTTATCATTAGTAATGGAGAGCGTGGCCGTACGATTTATTTCACGGCTGAGAGGCAAGTAAAAAAATATAATCTATACATCTATAGATACATATAAATATATTTGGAGTGTCTGTTTGTTATATTGAAAAATTAGTTTTTTACTACATGTAAGTATATGTTTATAAATACGGTACATAGGTACACCAAAATATATTTTTTTACAATTTTGGTCTGTCTGTCTGTTAATTCCGGTTAATATCTGAAATGGCTGGACCGACTTTGACGGGACTTTTATTGGCAGGTAGCTGATATAATAAGGAGTAACTTGGATACTTTGAAATATTAAATTCCAGCATTTATAATATGGACCGACTTTGACGGGACTTTTATTGGCAGGTAGCTGATATAATAAGGAGTAACTTGGATACTTTTATTTTAGAAAAATATAGTTAAATTCCACGCGGACGAAGTCACGGGTACAGCTGGTATTCTATAGAATACTATATTTTTAGTTCCCTTATATCCCTCGTCTCTTCCCGCAACTGTAATGAATATGGATTAATGTATACGTCTGCGGTAACGGTATACGCTGGCGGGATAGGTACCTACTTGTAGAAGATGACAGGATGAACAGATAGTTCAGTGAGCCCATCGTGGCAAATTTAACAGGAAGAACCGTGTGAAGGTCAACTGACTTGATATTTTACCAGTCTCCATTACTAACAATCCCCGCCCTCAATGCCTCCTTATCAATATTTGTTCTTTAATTGTTAGATCTTTTGGTTGTAGTGGGTTATGTTATTATTTCATATCAGACTATAGTTACACTGGAGAAATAAATTACATATACCTATTTATGCACTCAGTATAAAGGCCGCTGTTAAAAGTATATTATAGGTATATATATTATATATAATAGATTATTTCGCATTCGAAAAAATGTATCAGTGACATCTACTGGAAAATGGTTCAACTTTAATACTGTATGGAGCAGAAGGCTTTCCCAACACAGGAATGTGATTCAAATGGATGCTTTAAAAATAATTAGAATAGTTTGTTTTGTAGACGACAGATGGCACTATAACGAAAAATTACAATCTAACAAAAATGGAATAAAAAATTATGATGATAAAAGCAAAATGAGTAGGTTTTTTTATGTAGCTGGAACAGTTCACGGGGTTAGCTAGTAATATAATAATAATGCTCCTAATACGCTGCTATTCCTGAGAACTATAATGTTATGACTCCATACTTTTTATCCTACTGCTATATCTTAATCTCAAACAGATTTTTTTTAAATAAAAACAAAGCTGCTTTAGGGCTGTCTGAAATAGATGCAACAGAGCTAACACAGACGGTTTCTTACAAATGCAAAGTCTTTGGCCCTCTCACTAGGGGTAATATACAATAGTAATTGACGTGACGATATAAATGGATTGGCCCTTTGTTTCTTAGTGGAAATGTTCAGCTTCAGGAGTGTTGTACTGGACTAAAATCTCTACAAGGCTAAATATTCATTCTATTTTTGTTTATAGTTAAATACTTATATTATTGCATTGATTAATCTATGGATTAAGTAAATACATGCGATGCATGCGATAGAACGATAAGGCAATGATAACTGCGTCGAATTGTAGCCAAACCTTATATATACCCCGCAAAGCTAACCGTGTACTATGACAAATATTACATTATCTTATACTTATCCTATTTTAAAACAAATGAATCAACTTTTATTTTCCTTCTATTTATTTTTTTTTACTTCTATTAATTGTACAACAAAAAGAAAACGCGACACTACAGATAAAAGTACGAGTATATTAAATCGGAAATGGGGTAATTAGACGCAACGGTAACTTTTTCTGGCACCTTTTTTAAGATAGTTTAACAGTTTAAAATTTTAGATTAGATCGTTGACTATATGACACGAATAAAACTGATAATACGCAGAATACAAATAGGTTCTGAAAAACGAGATTGACAGGTTTGTTTAAAGTATAGGCCATCATACAACAAAGATCATATGAATAATCTTACTGCCTCTAGGTCTAGCGGTTTACTTCCGTTTTACTTCCGATGGTGGCGGGTTCGATTTGTCGCACAGTAATATTAACATTTATATGAGTATGATTGTTCGTTTCAGTTTGGGTGTTTTCTATGTTTATTATTTATGTATGTACAAATATGTAACATGTATTTCAGTATTATACTAGTTGTGTAGTACGCGTAACATAAGCTCTGCTCAGCTTGTGACTAAATGGCGTTGTGTGAATTGTCCAGAGATATTATAAATGTATTGCTTTTATGGAAGAACTAAGTACGTAGCTGGACCAAGTCAATCTATTTAAACTTGTATGTAATTTTATTAATTTATTTAATTGTTGTTAATAAGGTATAGAGTAGTTTCCAAAACAAAACCAAGTACCGTGAATGCCTAAAACGTTCCTGATATTATAATTATCAATCTGTTTCAAGATAAAAAAGCTTTTATGGTAATGGACTACTGAAACCGTGATAAGTTAAGTATTTATCGACAGGATCTCTCGCAGTTCGAAAGATAAACGTTTGGACAGTGCTCGTTCGCAAAAGTTCTATTCTACAAATGTTTTTGTTTCTTCGGTATGGGTGACGACCATTGGCTTGATGTAAGCTTCTACAGCGATTACTTTACAAGTTTTGTGTTTATCTACAACTGTGGCATATCTCTGATTTGTTATTATTGTACTTGATATCGTATGCAGTGATTCATAACTATGATTAACTAATATTGATTTTCGTATAGTTGCAATAATTTCACTATATTTCATTGATGGTTGAATATTGAAAATTATTACATTTCGAATATATGTAATTCATTATATAGTCAAAATACATTAGTTTAAATGTTACACAAAACATGTTGACATTTGAATGTTTGTTTATATTTTTATTGTTACTAGCCACTCGTCCGAGCTTCGCACTGTTGGGTTACAAATCTTAAAATTTCTCAGTTTGTTATATACCATAACACGCATGTATTATAGATATAAAGATTCCTCTTGAATCACTCTATCTATTGCTGAAAAGTGCATTAAAATCTGTTGCGCAATTTAAAAGATATAAGCGAACGGGCTGCTGAAGCAACTTTGTTACATGCTGTCGAGATATTTTTTGTGTGCTTTCATTATCGACGATCATCGGTTATTAGTAAGACAAACAAATTGCTTATCAAGTGATTATTATATGTAAAGCATAAACAATATATTGTTTCAGCTTGATACATCAAAATATCCATTCCCAAATACACTATGGCACATAAAGCCACCAAAAGAGATAGCCATCAAGGTGACTGTAATGTTAATTGTTGGAATTATTGGAATAATTCTCAACTCAATCATCCTGCACATACTTATTAAGAACAGATGGTTATGGAGCCCAAGTAATTACCTCATTGGTAACTTGGCACTGGTGGATTTGATCACTCTGTTGTTATGTCCTTGGTTCATGCTGGTGAGGGACTTTTATCAACAATACGTTTTAAAGCATTTTGGTTGCTATTTTGAAGGTTTTCTACAAGGTGAGTGAAAAATGGTTTAGGTGCAGTTAGTAGACTCTTGATTTTATGTACTCAAATTATATTACAACTACTCATATGAATAATTTTTTGTGGGATATCTAAATATCTACAAATATTATTGAAATAATTATGTTTAATTAAAAATATTGAATAATATTAAAATACTGTTGGCTAATTATATTTTGATTTGCAATGATTTGTCCTTTTAATAGTTTTTTATTGCTGTTTATATATAACTTATAGCAGATATAATATTTGGCAATACTACTGATTTTCGTTTATTATTATTATTATTATTAATTATAATTACCACCAAAATGTTTTTAGCAGGTGGCGTATATAAACACTAATTTTTGTAATGTTTTTTCTGTCTTATTTTATTCTTTTTTATTTTAGTTTTTTTTCTTTACAGCATCACTCCTTTTGACCAGTGTAGGAGCTGTAATGTTAGTATCATACGACAGGCTGGCTGCTGCTGGCTTGACACCGGATGCCCGCGTCACCAAATCCGCTGCGATTAAGCTCATAGTAATTACTTGGATAGCTTCAATGTTATTGTCATTACCATGGATTACCCATAGAGAATATGTGGTTAGTTTTTTTAATTATCTACTTGAAATTTATCCCAAAATAATATATTTTTTATTGATAATGATTGATGCATCCACGTATGTTAACGGTTTACGCGGGCCAGACATCTGTGGAGAATGATAAGATGAGCTTGAGTTCAAGTTAGGTCAGTCAGCCTATTTAGCAAATAGTAATTTACTACGATGGTTTCCAGAGGGAACCGCTTGTAGGTGGTACATAGTAGCAATGGGGTTATTAGGCCATATTATTAACCATCCCTTTACACTCACATAATTATATTCAATGTATGAAGATATAATAATAATAATAATAATGATCTCAAGACAATTCACACAGCGCCATCTAGACTCGAGTTGTGCTAGCTAAAGCTTGTGTTATGGGTACTAGATAACTGATACAAATACATAGATATTTTTTTTTCGTAAATACATACATATTATACATAGAAAATACCCAGACCGATACAAACAATCATACTCATGAATGTGCCGTGCGAGGAATCGAACCCGCAACCATCGGACGTAAAGAGGTGTGCTAAACCGCTAGACCACCGAAGCCGTCTGTGTTGTCATTTGCAGCTATTTAGATCCAATTCATTTAGCTGTTTAAGGTTATTTAGTAAATAAGTATTCATAAAATAACCAAACAAGTTCACAAAATTAAGAAGAAATTAAAAAGAAACGTAACAAAACCCTTGTTTTGTCGTCTTGTACTACACTGTAAAAGTAGACAATTGTGTGATAGCTATTTAGCCAATTCCAAAATTTGCGAGAGAAACCCTACAACGCATCGGTTCTTTTCAATTCTTATATATTATACAATTAACGTTTTGTTTTAGGAAAGACAATGGGCTGATTATTTAGAAACATTCTGCGCGGAAGATCCAAAGGTACTAGGGATATATTGGCACTTCACACTTTTTATATTGGTATGGATACCGTTAGGTCTAATGGTCGTAACTGTAAGTATATAATTTTTAAATTACAACTTCTATTATTCAGATTGTATATTACCTTAGTAACATCATCAATAAAATGCAGTCTTGAAATTTTCAAATGCGTTACCATAAAATTTATCTCTTTAATTATCTTTTCTTGCTTTTCTAGTACGTATAGACTAGTAATGACAATTATGCGGTATTTTTATCCAAATTAGTCGCCATAACAGAGATTTTTTTCTTGGGAATAAGTCCCCGAAATATATTTTATATCGTCTTTGTTAGATTGGGATAAAAATATAGGATGACATTTTTTATATAACAAAAATGTTAAATTAAATTCTTAACAATAGATAATTCTATCTTTTCATTTCTTTAGGTAGTATTTAATTATCTATGTGTCACTAAAACTAAATATAGTTTGTGTAAAGTAAATTAGTATTGAGAAGTACAATAACGAAAGAGAGAGAAATGAAATAGAAAATGTATGTGGATAATTAAACTCCAATTATTAGATTCATATCATTACGTACATATTAGCTGATTTTATAAGTATATAATATATCTTTCACATGTAGTACGGTGCTATCATGTGGCGTTTAGAGTGGAGTGCCAAGAAGCTTTCTTCAAAAGGCGCTGGGATGGCTGTATCGAAAGCTAAAACCAGTGCAATGAGAATTGCAGCGTGTGTCCTCATAACCGCCGTTATTTGCAGAATACCTTATACTGTTCTCATATATTGGAGAAATCGTCTAAGTAATGAAGTTAATTCTGTGAGTACAAATTCTCTATATTAGTCATTAGTAATAGAACTCGAAGAATAACGGGATGAGCCAGTGTATGTTTGAGAAGTCGCAGAGTAGCAACATGTAATACACAAGTTCCAAGTGTTTACTCTCACCACTGATCCTGTCATCACACTACCAATTGAGATATACAAGAGATCATACACGATTTTTATATATTTCATAATATTAGCTTTCTTTACCTCACTGTTTCTCAGCTTTGTTAAATTTATTAGATGACTAGGATCATGCCTGCGAAAGTGCACCCGAACTGCCAGCGACTAATCACGGTGATTGGAACATCAAGGGGTTTTAGTGGGTAAGAGTTCCACAATATCCGCCTATGGGTGTAGAGTTATAAAGTCGGGTGGTTCTCTATGTATATTCTCTATTACTCCTAGTAAAAAATGGTCCTTTACACATATTTCCAATCTCAGTAATGTTGGATTTTAATTTAACCCTTCCGATCGATCACCCGTCCAATTCAAATGGGGATTAAGATTACGAGGACCTGACTCAAGGTTCGGATTCTTAAAGGTACCTTCAGGCTATAGTTGTATGTATGTATCCATCAAGCAGGAGTTGGCCTTCAGCCGCTCCATAAGTTTTTTTGTGGGTTTCAAAACCAATCTTTTATACTTTCCTCCCTATAGTTCGGTGATACCCAGTTTCGGCCAACAGCATTAGAATTAGTTAAATTAGCATATATCTCTTACCGAAAGTGTTTGTAATTCTTTTCATTCTTTTTTATTTTTAGATATTATTAAAATTATCAAGTTGTGTCATATATATTATAATTTAAAGCACAATTATAAACATGTCTTGAAAATTTGATTAAGATGTTAATATTGTCATTCTATTTCAAAGTATTTTGCATAACAAATGTTTTGAATGTAAATTTTATTGCTTTGTAATCATTTGTTTTCTTAGGTGGAAGGTAGTTTCGATGCTATGTGGTTTGCTGCCAACTATCTTATTTACATGAATTGCGCTGTAAACCCGCTGATTTATGGGTTCACTAACAGAAGATTCAGAAAAGCTATGGATAGAACTCCTGGCATTGCTTGGTGCAAGTTTGGATCTTGGTGCTGTGTTTATCCTGTGGTAAGACTTAATCATGTATTTAAAATATTATCAAGTGTGCTACATATGCTGAAGACAACATCATCACTTCGACTATTATTATCTACTACTGAAAAAACTAACTCTCTCAGTTTTTCGGCTAATATTCTTACACAATAACTGGAAAAACTCAGGTACTACACCTAAGTCTCGCCTATTTTAAAAGCCAAGTAGCCTGCTTTAGTCCTCTGGAATAGCAACGCACAGTGGTATCATGAGTGTCACACGATAACGTGTTGTCAGGTGTATTTTTACAACTATAGTCGACGGCACTACAAAACTGTATACCATCAGATGAGGCGGCAAATGTTTCCATTTCGTTTACATAAAAAGGAACAAAAATACATATTAGATACTTACTTTAAATGTTGTGTTTGGTACTAATCGTAACACTAATAACAGTCCTAATACCTATCCTGATCATATTATATCTACTATTCGTTATTTCAAGAGTGTTTGATTATTTTCAGTATAAAAGAAAACGTATACTTGAAGTGGATAAAAATACAGAAAAAGTTTTTGTTATTGAAGGCACACCTCGACCAAACAGGAAGTTGGCACACGTCATCAAGAATATACTTCATATAAATAAGGAAACTCTAGATTTTAGTGTTAAAATAGATGAAGTTACTACAAAACCGACTAAAATCACTCCTTTGAAAATATAAAATAAAGATGTAATAAATAATATTTTACTTCTTTAATAGATAAATCCATGGTTCTTCCCAGAAGGAGGCGTCTTTATAGTACCTACTTCAATATTTTTTAGTTTGAATCAATATTGCCTACTGAATTTTCTCATACAAATCGATAAATGCTGTTTAAAACTCATATGCTTTTTGTACAATATTTAATTATGTTTATTTTACAGTAGATCGTAAATTGTAAAATATAAATGTTGCAATGTAAACATTCCAATAATATTAATTATTGGCAACTCCATTTTCTGCTGTATCTAACTGAGAAGATAGCTCTTGAATTTTAGCCTCTAATGCAGTTCTCATATAGGGTTCTACTTTTAAAATGTTTGTAGCTTCTTGCAATAATACCATGCTCTCCATTAGTTGATCCTGTTTGTAATTAAAAGTATATTAGTTTACTTTTGAACTATTCTTATATTTTTTCCTAGCTTTCTCTACGTATACTATGAAATAAAACTAATTATAATAATAAGCCAAGACCCACAGCGCCATTTAGTCCCAAACTAAACTGAGCTTGTGTTATTGGTGCTAGACAACTGATATAAATACTTACATTTATTATATTATTACTTAAAGTTACTTCAATTTGTATCCGAGAATACAGCATCGTGGTATATTTTTAAAATTAAAAATCTAGTCGTGTGTTTTTAGCACGCTATCAGCATGTTTTGGCTTTCATCCAATATTTCTAAACCAGATTTAGTATTGCATTAAATAGTGCTATTTAGCCGAAACTATAATAATAATTGATTCATAATAGTATATGTTTAACATTCCAAAGGAATGCAATAATTCAGTTTCAGATATTATCATTAATGTTTCTTCTGAAATTATTATTCTCCACTATAAAGTCTTTATATTATAAGATCTCAATCCTAATTATGTTTGTAAAGATACAAATTCAGTCGACATACATAAAGTGGGATAGTAGAGAGAAGTATAGATATAAAAACAAAATTAATTCACCTTACCTGAGCTGCAGCTTTCGTAATCTTCCCAGTTTCATATTCTCTCTTCGTTTGCATGGTCATTGCCGCTTGTAGATCTAACAGTAATGTACCACGAAACCTAGTCCATCCTGGTTCTAATTTGTCAGACAATTCCAGAAGTTCGTGGCATAAATCAATTTTTCTTTTTAAAATTTGATCGGAAATTTCTGTAAAATATTTATAATTATTTAGTAAGATATTTACTTAAAGAAAAATATATTGAATTAAATAGTTAAAAAAATATATATGGATACGTATATATGTATAAAAATATATGCCTTTTAACAAATAAATATAAAATTACTTTTGTATAATACTAAATTGAATTAATATTGTTGTTGATGTTGTTGGAGACACGTATTTAACTTTTCAAATATACTTATCGTAAGCCTTTTCTTTGATTGATCTCTTGGCAAATTATCAAAAAAGATGAGTATTATATTGGTCAGTCGTGAATGTAAACCCATTGGCAATAAATTGCACTTTTCTTGACCTATTTGGATTATTGACGCCAACGAATTGTTCAATGTCTATGACTCGACATCAAATGTTAATAGTATTGGGTCATGGCAATCTAAATAAATAATGTAAATATATTTTGAACTAGTACTTGTTAATAATAGCTATTTATGCTTTTAAAGAAGAAGCAGAGATATTTTTGATTATACCAAAATTTAGAAGATCATATATTTCATAGATATTTAGTTTAGGCTAAAAGTGCTAGATTAAAATATATGATAATGATAAGATCAATAATACCTGTTAGAATATATCCTTTACAATTTCCATAAATTTGTATCAAAGCCAATTTGGCCTGAACCACTAAATGGTTAAGTGGGTGTAAAGTATTACTATATCTACGAATGAAGTCTTCATATTGTTTAGGTTCACTTTTATTTAATTTACTCAAATCTTGCTTCAATGCGTTGTTACCCCAGAACATTTGCCTACTTTGAATGAAATGCTCACATTTTTCACATTTCCAAAGAGCAGTTTCGTCCAAAGGATTATTTGATACCAACATTGGTTTAGATGTATTGTTGTCACGACCAGGTCCATTACAAATTGAACAATATATGTTACCTATGTAAGTGCCCAATTCAGTTGGATCTTTACACCTTTCGCATTCGCATTCAATAAGTTTCTGATTTCTCAAATATCTTCGTCTGTCTAAGGTTCCCCACAAGGCTTGTGTATAGGATGTAGTTATAATATCACCTTTGGAAATTGGCAATGTCGCTATTATTGCAATTTTATAGTCATCATCGAGAAATATATGACGGGTATTAGGTTTACAACTGTGGTTCAACATTGATGCAGTAACATAAATAGCTCTTGATCTTTTAGATCCGTCAGTTGATCTCACATCTAATGCATTCATATCAAATATAGAAGCAACTTTTAATATAGTTTCTTCATCAAATTCCATACCTAAAACCTGAACAATGAATGTCACTAAATTGGCCCTGAGAACTAAATATAACGGAGTATCTTTTTTGTCCTCTAAATGAGATTCCAAACTCATCACATTTTCAAATTGAAGGGGATTTGAGTTCTTCATTAATAGAACTCGAAGAGGTGCAATAACACAATAAGCTGCTTCGGTTTTGTCCACCTGTTCATATTTGATAGCACATCTATATTTTCTGTCTGACATTATTTTACATTCGAGCTTATGTATATCCGCTTTCTCGCATTCTGGACCACACATTGGCCAATTACACAAGGAGCACTTGTAGAAATCAAAACAATCTTCTCGTTTCAGTGGTTCCAGCTTCTTTCCGCATGCCAAGCAGTGTGGAGCGCAGCTCATTCTTGGCCCAATGACTGCCGGTTTCTCTTTTAGGATCATTTCACCTTGTTTTATATCCCTCGTAGCTATCATGTGTCTGCCATACGTATCTGAATATTGAATCTTGAATGCACAACATTTGAACTTGTGGCCTTCTCTCCATCCAAGCTTTTGATGCCCTCTGGAGCAATAGTAGGCAAGTTTGCAGCCTCCACAAATCTGATTTGCTGGTTGTTGACACACCTCGCACGTTGGTATTTTGACCTTTTTGTGGTCCATTATTGTTTTTCTATGTACACTGAGAGATGCACGCCCGGCGCGTTTGGTCTCTAATACAATACTCGACTTAAATAGATATGTATAATTAACATGCGGCAGAAAGACTCGGACATGTGCCAAGATTAAGATTACTATGGTACCAATGTTTTGTGATAAAATAAATTATTATAAAATTCTCAATCAAAATGTTTATAATATTTTTTGATACTAAATACTGGTTTCTAAACATTTTGATATAAATGAGTAAAAAAACGTTTCATTAATTTTGATTGGTAACAAAATATATTGGATAGACACTATCTCTCATCTCTCCCACTTTCCTTCATCAACTAAATAATCTGAAATTACTATAATATCTACTGCTAATGTTGCATTAGGAGATTCGCTTATATAGTATTTATAACACTAAAATTTAATAATCTCTGCCTATACTTTGTAACCATTCATCTAGCTGAAAGCCAAGTGGAATGTTCGTGAAATTTACTCGAGATAAACTGTAAATAGTATAGTTTGCATCCAGCCGTCCCTCACCCGCCCCGGCAGTTTGCTTTGTAAACTGTGTTTCGATCATTGGGTCAGATTAGGCAGTGAAATTATAGCGTTACATTCCTGACATATGCTTGGAGTTTTTCTGAGGGACAATCCGAAACGAAGTAATTCGCCAGAGAACTAAGGTCATAGCTCTTCGTATCTGTAAGTTGAAGAGGCAGTGGACTGGTCATATCTGTCGCAAAACCGATTCTCACTGGAATAGGGGTGTTCTAGAATAGAGACCGCGAATTGACAAACGTGGAGGAGGACGCCCCGCAGCTGGGTGCGTTGCGGGTAATAATTGGTTGAGAAGGGCAGAAAACGGTACCCACCCTTGGTAGAGGTCTAGCAGTGGTATGTCCAGCAGCGGACTGCAATGGGCTGATGATAATGATTCTTAACTTCTTTGCTAGAATGATAATGCATGAGTGGTATTACGGATGTCAAATACAACTTCTCTTTCACTCTTATAAAACATGTAGATACTTTTCATCCGTTTTTGTTTATTATATTATATTATTTTATTAACTATAAGTAGTGGGTACTATTTATAGTTTATTTTTAATAAAATCTACGATTTACCCTTGGAACATGGAAATTAGTATTATTTAAGAAGTTTAATTTACAATTTTTTTATTCAAACTATTTTTATTTTAATAGCCCAGTTGATTACATAAAAAAGTGGACAGAGAATTATTAATTGATTCAGTGTGGCCGACTGATTACCACTACATTTATATGGTCTCATACACCCTAATCAGTGCTAACAGTATCGAGATCGAGATATCTTAAATATTTTTAACATAATTTGATTTGATTTTGATTTAATTTAATTTAATTTTGATCTACTTTGAACACTTACTTACTTAAGGTCGAATTTACAGTATGATGTATTTTTTAGCCACACTGCAGTGATCGTAGGAAAAGGGAAATAAGGAACTCACCCAAATTGTACAAAATTATAATATAGATGATCTGCGTCGGCGACTTGAAGCACTTGAAGTTTTCAGTTACAATACACCACACTCGCGACACAAATACAGTTTGTTATAATATTTAAGGAGCTCCTTGATTAATTAAAAATTGATGCATGCGGTGGTTGTTTCACTTGTTAGATGGCGGCGAATAATGAATTGTCCATATTGTGCCGGGGAAAGGGGGGCGGGAAAAAGCAGTGTGGCGGCTTACCAACCTATTATTATTTTTTTTTTTTATGGTTTTAGAAGACGCGCGAACACAGTATTTGTAATGTTTGAATTATATAATGGACCCTGCATTAACTCATTGCTATTAAAATCGATTTGCAATTAAAACATTTTAGTATTAAGCCTGCAATCAATAAAAAAATATATGTATATAAAAAAAAGAACATAGAAATAAAAAAAAAATTAAAACAAACAGTTAGGTAAGCTGCCAGTTATATTGAAATAAAGTAAACAAATTAATGTTAATTAACTAAAACATATGTATGTAGATAAAGGCTTCTTCATATATAAGACGATATACATATATAAAATCTACGCTATAGAATTTACATTAAAAGCTTTAGCGAACTATGTTAGAAATATGCCAACCAACAAATCTATTGGAAGGAAGTTGTGGTTTTATTAATTTTGCAACGACTATTATAACCGTTATTGCAATAGACAAAATTTTCCAGTATCATATTTGCCGTGTCTATTCCTAAACATAAAACAAAAATGACGTAATAGAGTTATTTCTAAAATTTAGTGGCTCCCTGTTAGTTTATTATTTTATTAGAATTGTAATTGTTAAACTTTGCGTCTGACTAATAAACAATTGAAAATCATTCAATAATAATCTAAAAATAGACCCGTGTTAACTAATACATAGAGTATTCATTTTATCCATAACATCATTCATACATCGTTCATTCAGCTTCTATTACGCAACCTGATATTCTTTAGTAAAATGTAGTCTGCTAACTGCCTTTGCCAGTGCGCGCGCCTTTGGAAAATTAAAAAGAAAAAGATATCGAAAACGCGGGAAAACGTTCAGTGATTTTTAATATTTTTTCCTCGTTCATAATTTTATATAAATTGAGCATTCGTTGTTACATTGTTAATTAGAACGTGAGAGTAGTTTTTAAATAAGTGTAAAAAGTTTATAATAAAAAATACTGTGTTGTCTATGAAATATTACAAGGATTAAAGAACGAGTAAGTTTTTTTTGTTTCTTAAATTCAACGCGTTTGACCGCAATCTATCCTGAAGTAATAAAATTGATAGCATTGCAATTCCATGGATCCACTTTTTTAAATTAATTAAATGACATTTCTAAAACGGGTGTAGCCTAAGTTACTCCTTATAACATTACAAGCCGACAGAATTATTTCAGATATTTTTTTATATAAGTATACACTTTCGTAAGCATTTAGTGAAATACTGTTAATTTGAAATTGCAAACAAAATTCCAATATTATTTTTTTGTATTGTTTTTTATTAGTTATTCAATATTTCTTATATTTAACTAATACATAAACTAAATATTGGAGGATTAAAAAAGGTAATAATACGGAGTGTGTTATTGAGACTGATCACTAACCTACTCTATGGGATTAGTAACCCCATTACTACAACGGTGGTGCCCATGGAAACCATCGTAGATTTTCTAAGTGGGTGCACCACCACCTGCGCTAACAGTGTACGCTGGCGGGGCACCAGTGGATGATTAAGATAAGTGTGAGATCTTGTCAGTTAACCCATCCATACACTAGGAATTTAACATGATGGTTTCCAGGGGGACTATACCACCAGAAATAACCAGGTGGAATACACCATGTCACGTTAACCTGCGGTTGCGTTTTGGTCAATATGACATAGTACATTTGTTAGTAATGAGATTATTAATTTATATTACTGAAAGTCTTCTTCCAAATCAAAATAAATAATCGTAGTTAATTTCTGGTCCAGACCTCGTCATATCACCTTTCGCTGGTGCCCCGCCAGAGTAACCCGTTACCGCAGGCGGCTGAACCCAAATGCTACATATAAAGAAACAAACAATATCACTTTCGCATTTATGACGTATTTTTAAGACAATGTGAAAATTTCTAAATGTATGGTTGTTTACTACTGAATCTTGTTTAAATTTAACTCGTGGAATAACTCAAAAGCTTGGCAATATTTTAACCGGAATGACGTAAATCTTCCATGCAATGTAGCTGTAATAGTTCTGTGTAACTGAAACTGTGTTTTCTTAACACGGTATCTGCAAATAACGATATGCTTGTTATTTTTTATCGGCAATTAAAGATAACTTTTTATTTATGTAAATAGAATGGCAACTGTCAGTCCATCTGATGGTAAGTTGTAACAGGCACCAGTATACATGAACAACATCAGGGAACACACGTTATCATTTGCATTTTTTTACATCTCCTGTAATTTCACTGCCATAGGCATAGAGATCCTTCTACCGAAACACAGTTTACGAAGATAGCTGCATGGCGGCTGAATTTGTAAGACAGAGATAATTTTAAGACAATATTAATTGTTTGCCGAATTTTAATCCTATCCCATAGGCTATGGGTATAAAATAGCATACATTTAACAGGATATATGTATGTGGATGGAGGATATATGTTACTATTAAATGTACAGCTGTTTACATATAAAGCCAACCAGTATGTGAAATAGTAAATATTACACAGTATTCTGAAACAAGCTGATCTCTTCTTTAATAATTACTAGGGAACTAATTAACAGACATACTTACATATATTGTAGTATGTATATATTTTTAAAAAATCTACTAGTTTATATGTAGGTATAGAGAAAAACACCCAGACCAATACAAACATAGTAACGAATACATATTCGTAGTGTACGACAATTGAACCCACGACCATCCAATACTAAGTAAATGTGATAAATTTCGAAGCCGTTGTAATAATTATGACGATATAATAAACAACAGTGTTGTCGACGTTTATTTTCATTAAAATTGGCACATTCCAAGAAAACTGTTTCTCCAGTTAGTGGCTTCTGAAACTAGGCTACAGTGAGCTATTTTTAGGTACTTTACACATGTCGTCTAAATTACATACACAAAACACCATACTTACAGGTTTTTTGTGGGTGTTAATGTTTTATTTATTTCAGGGTACCTACTAGGACCATTTTTTTTTTATTAATGATAATTGAATGGTGCCTCTGCCTGCACTAACGGTTTACGCTGGCGGGGCTGCAGTGGAGGATGATAAGATGAGCACGAAGTCAGATCAGTTAGCCAATAGTGACAAATTCACCTAGAATTTATCACGATGGTTTCCAGAGGGAACCGCGTGGAGGTCAACCTGACATGGTACATTGCTAGCAATATGATCCTCAGTTCACATTATTACCAATCCGCTTTTCCCCCCACTAGGCCCATATTATGAATACCGTATAGAAAGGAAGATAGAAAGAAAAATATTTTATTCAGTGCAATGTAAAAAATACAATATAAACAACAAATACTAACTTACATATGAATTAATATTATAAAACTTATATATTGATGTATTGAAATTATCTGTATGGTCACGGCACTGACGACGGCAATCTGCCACTGTAGCGCCGATGCACCACATCCTTCGGCAGCAGTCGTCAGTAGTCCTCCTTCATGAATGTGGGCAGCATGTTGGTGGGGACCAGGGCACAAACGCCATGAAACTCGCATTGTGACTGATCACACACACACACACATACATACTGATATACATACAGATACCGTGGTAGATTACCGTCGTCAGTGCCGTGACCACACAAACAATTTCAATATATTAGTTTTATAATATTAATGCATATATATGTTAGTCTATAAGGTATTTATAATATAGGACTAGTAGCCTGAAATATATAAATAAATTCGGCTGATGATAATGATGATGATGATCCGACTGCGCTGATTGAAAGCCATTTATTTATTTATAAATAAATTACACCCTTAATGTGTACCTTGACCGGATCTGATATATATCTTCTATAAGTGCACGTTACTTTGACCCATAAATGTTATGCACCTAGGGCTATCATGTAGTTGTTTTTTGGAAATCAAGAAAATCAAGGTTGTAATTATTTAACTTTGGGAAAATCTAATTGATCTAAATAAAGTGGAAGCTATATTTGTAGGAAATACTTAGATACACCTATATTAAATTGTACCCATAACCTAACAACATACTGTTACTCCAGTCAGCTCGTGACCACGGCTAGTACCTAGTCGAAACTTCGAGAGAGGTAAATACCTTTATTTACCATAAAATTGTTTGTGTTAAAACCCGTTTAAGTATAATAATAATGTTCAAATTCAAATTCAAATTCAAAAATCATTTATTCATGTAGGATATTTAAGCCGCTTATGAACGTCAAGTTTTTACATTATAATTTTTTTCCCCTACCGTCCAGTTCGGTTGTATATTAAACACGAAAGTTTAATAATAAGCACCCATATTACACATAAAAATAAATAAAAAACATACAAACATACCGTTAATATCGATGTTTCCTTCAACAGAGAGTCAGTCAGACGAATATAAATTGGCACATAATGTTTTTTTTTGCTTTAGTCAAATTTGAAGTAATAGATTTTTGTATGAAAATCGGCGTATTAACGTAGTCGTTCACTACCCCGATTTGCATGCATAAGGCCGTGATATCAAATTTCATTCTCCTCGCTTCAACTCGCGTAATTTTCGTAAAAAAGGATATCAAGTTTCTGCAATATGTATTATTATAATAAATTAAAGCTCTATAATTTGCTTCAAGGGACAACAAGTGTGGTGGCAACCCTATTGCACCTGATAGGACCGATCTATCACGTTAGTGCGGTCAGCCAAGAAATTACTATTTTTAATGGAACGTTCACACTAACGGATACAAAGCGATAGGTATAAATATATCTATATAACTTATATTTTATGGTTTTTACACAAGGACTGTAGTAGTAAAAATACGGCCCGCCTTATGTTAAAAGTTCTCCATCATCCCTCGATTTGAGAACAGGGCGTAAATATAATCGCATTATTGACAGATGACGTCATTTTCACTACGTTACATACGAAAATCGTTGCGAACGAAGTTAGATAATTAGCCCAATATCGCGAACGCGTTGTCAATGTCGAGAAAAACGAACGCTTACGGTTATTATTATCAAGTATGAACAATCATAGGTTATTATGTATATATATGAAAGCAAATTGTACTATTAACCTATCATAATTCACATAACGCTATTTATTCCCAAATAAACAGAGTGCACCTGCTTGCGCTAATGTTGGCGGGAACCAGTGGAGATGATAGGCTGGACCCTATTAGTATACATAACTACAAATTCAATTCAGAAGAACTGCGAAGAAATCCAACTGAATTAAGTACATTTTTTCCAAAGCCAGTTTATATAACATTGTTTACTTACATTGGTGTACATGTCTAACATTAAATAAAAATCCCGTGCATTTTTCTTTGTAATGAACTTTAATTATTTTAAATATGGAATATATTTTTCAGATATCGTAATAATGGCACAGTGCAACGGTATCAATGATATACCGTATGAGGTGAGTAAAATTTTATATCCTAATATAATGTATTAAATCTGTACTGCACCATCTGTTGGGGTTATCTGCAAATATAATAAATTTTTGACGGATTCCTAAAGATGTTAAAAGCAGATACTAGTTTCATGTCATTGTTAATTTATTCAGTACTCACTAGATGGCGCTGAACAAGAAATTTTGCAAATAAAGAAATAATGTCGTTAGCCAATTGGAAATGCATTTACAGTACTAAAAATAACAATCGAAAGTGCATTTGAAAGAGAATTGTAAAATAATTAGAACTAGTAACAAGTGTGATGCGGTACATTGAAGATAGGAACGTTAGTTTTAAACATGTGAGTTTAAACGTAAATTTATTTATGTACATATATTTCGAATTAATAAACAATAAACTCAATTCACATAATGAGAACTATGCCCTCTTCTTATTAAATAAATAGTAACAAGGTACCTAAAGTAGTAATTTGAGTGTCTGTTTGTAATATTGAAATAACCATTTTTTACTATTGACATGCATATGAATATAAATGCGGTACATACATCAAAATAACATTTTTAACAATTTTTGTCTGTCTGTCTGTTTGTTTGTATGGCTGGACCGATTTTGATGGGACTTTTTTGGCAGGTAGCTGATGTAATAAGGAATAATTTATGTAGGCTGCTATTATTTCAGATATTTTTTTATTTTAAATTCCACGCGGACGAAATCGAGGTGATAGTTAGTAATTATAAATTAGATACCTAATTTCATTATTACATATACCTACTAGTACCTAAATACCTAGCTTAAAGGTAATTTCAATATAAATTTTGTTTGTTAATAATGAAGGATGTTTGAACAGTAATCTGGTCGACAAGAAAAATAATTTGTACGTTGATTTCTTTTCTCCGAAACACTAGTAAAAATCGGAGTACAAAATTTGGTTGTTCTTTTGTCACAATGTATTTCAATATAATTACATGCAATCCTTGGAGATTAAGGGCACCCTTGAATTATGCCTGTTAAGCGGCTTACCTTCAGTCTGGTCGTATATTTATTTGTCACATTCAAAATAATTCTAACAACAGCTGGCAAGTGGTAGACACTTGCCAGCTGTTGTTAGAATTATTTTATTGTATTTTTTTTGTGCAATATTTAAGATCTATACTTATCTAATGACATTACAAGATGAATATCAAAATGACTATTACGGATTTAATGAAACTTTTATTTTAGTTTTGAAGTCTACCTCAACTGACTCATTACCGTTCACAATAAAGAGTCGTCAGGTGATGGTGTTCGGTGTTTTTGTTTTAATAAATTATAATAATTTACTAAATAAATAAAAGCAATTTACTAAACAAAATAATTTGTTAGAAAATGCATAATGAATGTCTTACAAACTTTTCTAGGTTTACCTTAAAGGTAAATTTATGCATCTACCTTTATATGCCTATTAATATTCTAATTTTGTTGGTCGAAGCTGGCCTTTATAGCTCCATCGAACGTTAGGGGACGATGGTTTTTTTTTTTTTCGGACTACTCTAATGCTGTTGGCCGTAGCTGGCCTTTACAGCTTCACCGGACGTTATGGGGCGAGTGCAGATGGCACTCCAAACCCGCGGAAGGACTTATGGAGCGGCTGAAGGCCAACTCCTGCCTGACGGATACGACTTTAGTCTGAGGGCACCACTAGGGGTTCGAACCTCTCGAACCTCGGCTCAAGCCGTCGTAATTTCGATCCCCGTTTGAATTTGACGGGGGATCGATCGGAGGGGGGGACGATGGCAGTCCAAACTCGCGGAAGGATATATACAGCGGCTGAAGGCCATCCGGCCTGACGGACACGACTTCAGTCTTAGGGCATCGCTAGTGGTTTGAACTACTAATTACTAGTAATTCGACCCCCGATTGAATAATACGGGGAATCGATCAGACATGCCTCTGATCGATTTATATGCTGTACATTACTTATTGTACTTATTGTACGTATATTACGTTTTCGTCCTTCGATTTCTATGCAATTTTTTGTTTCAAAGAACAATGTGGAATGGTCCTTCTTGCACTAACGGTATGCTAGCAGGACTATAGATACTGTTACCAAAAATCCTTTCCCCTTAAAAATTTATTTCATTTCAGAAGCTTAACATCTGCTACTTACCTATAATAATGCAAATTTAATGGAAGAATAGAACGGCAAGGGTCGTGGATACGGCATTTATGATAATATTATTATGAATATGATTTAAAAGGACAGTTATATTACGCGTTTGATCATTACGTATAAAAAATGAAAGTAATTCAACATATCCATGATGCGAGTTTGAACGTTGTTTCTGTAAAATAGAGTTTAAAATATTTTTTTGCTTTCAGTTGTTTCATAAAATGTATTACAACGGTAAAATATTATATAAAAACAGACAGATAAAAATTATCCCTTGGTTTTGTGGTATAAAAAAGGTAAAAAATATACTTCTCTACTAAAATTGACTTATCCAATTTGTGACGGATTTCTTGACAGTTTATGGCTTTTGTAATGATAAATGCTCCCAGTATGATACGAATCAACGAATATAAATAAATATAAAAAATAACCCACGACAATTTACACAGCGTCATCCAGTTCCAAGCTAAGCAGAGCTTGTATTATGGGTACTAGACAAGTGATATAAATACTTAGATATATATTTTTATACAACAACTGTTTATACTATGTGAGGACTAGATTCCTCGATCATTGGAAGTAAGAAGGCGAGCTAAACCGCTAGACCAACCACCTGAGCCGTAAATTACTATTAAAAATGTGAAGTAAAATTTTAAAATATTTTATAGAAACCAGATGTGCTACAAAAGCAGTTCGCAACAAATTATTACTATTAAGTCTTGGTAGTTCTAATTGTCTTCTGTTTGTACTTAGGTGTTGCTGAAATATTTGTTATTTATTAATAAAAATTTATTCATTTATTATCTTGTCTTGGGACTTTATCCGTGTGGTTATGTTTGATGGACTCAAAATATAACTTGTGTCATTCTCCAACCTAAAAGTAGGTAAGGTCTTCAAAGCATGAAGAACATAGATTTTTTTTAAGCAGACAACTTGACAGCTTGTTTAATGGAAAGTGACATCCATCGCCTATACATATGATATTATAGACGCCTTAAAACATAATCGTATGGCTTTTTATGTAATTTAAATGGCAAACAAACTAACGGCCCACCAGACGATAAGCAATTATCATCGCCTATATATGAACAATAATACGACCATCACGTTATCATGTGACACCTGAGATACAACTTATGCATAGAGAGGAGTATATAGGAGTAATATGTCACGCATCTTATCCTGAAATTTCACTGTCTAATATATACCTTACAACCGAACACAGCTAATAAAGTAAGTTTGGCGGCTGAAATAGGTGAGACTGAGATACCCACTCAAACAACTTTTTACAGTAAATAAGTTAATAATGTTATGCAGGTTAGAACATCTGGTGAGCTCGGGCGGTATCTCGTTGCGGCTCGTGACTTAGCACCTGGAGACCTGGTCCTGACTGAGCGACCTCTCGTCTTTGGCCCTAAAGCTATGCAGAACGCCGAAGCCAGTATGCCTTGTGTTGGATGCTATAAACCAGTATCAACTGAAGTCGGTGAAAGATGTTTCAGGTATTTCTTTATGCATCTGTATTGGCTAACAATTTTACGATCCACCTGATGGAAAGATATATAGATATAATATACTTTAAGAAAAGTATAATATTAATAACCCTGGACAATTCACACAGCGCCATCTAGTCTCAAGCTAAGCAGAGCTTGTGTTATTGGTACTAGACAACTGATATAAATACTTTGATTTTTTTCTGAATACATACATAATACATAGAAAATACCTGGATACAATCATATCCAATAATATAAATATTTGCACCGTGAAAGGTCACTCGCGATCTTCGGTAGTAAAGCGGTCTGCTAAACCGCTAGATAACCGCAATTATGAATAGTAGTAAGGTCATCACGTTATCATTCCAATAAAAGAATAATGACAGCAGGTAGGGTTAAAAAAAAGAATAATGGCAGCAGGTAGGGTTAAAAAACAGAATCGAGGTGATATTGTTCTAAATTAGGGGGCGGGAGTTTTAATGTAAGATGTTTAATGGAGACTAATAAATAATCTAACCCTATTACTGCCAACTGTATGTCAAGTTGATCTTCATGCTGTGCGCCCTAGAAATATGGTCAATTTCAGGTGAAGTCGCAACAATGACCTGAATTCAGTCCCTACATTGGTGCCTCTCTAGTGTATACCGTTAGCGTAGGCGGGTGTGACATTCCATTATCATCCATCAAACGAATTACTTAGTAGTCTTTTTTATATGTATTAATATTGTAATTAGTGTGTTTTGATTAATTGGTGAAGCGGGATAAATGATTTTGTTCTCTGAAAAATAGGGTTTCATTTTGACTATTATAAATTACAGATGCGGGTGGCCAGTATGTTCTGGTAACTGTCCGGGTCTGAAGGACCCTAGACATCATGGAGTAGAATGCCACATCCTCAGCGCTAGACCAGAGTGCGTGTTGAACAACATGACCGACTATTACAGGTTCTCATATTGTTTTTTTTATGTAAATGTCAATCAACCTGGCGTGATAACACTAATAGGTTGCCATTCCATAGGATTAAGATGTCATAATGTGCCATTTGCTAGCCTCAGTGGTCTAGCGGTTTATCGCACCGCCTTACGTCTGATGTTCGCGAGTTCGATTACCCTCACTGTACACTTATTTGTATTCGTGAGTATGGTGATGATAATACTGTTTGTATTGATCTGGGTGTTTTCTATACACCTGCACAACTCCCATAGCGCTATCTAGTCTTAAGTAAGCAGTAGCTATGATTACTAGGCAACTGATATACATATAATAAATACTTCGTTTTTTTTGTAAACACATACCTAATATACATAGAAATCACCCAGACCGACGAAAATAATCATGAATACAACCTTTGTACTGTGCGAGGAATCGAACCCGCAAGCATGGGAAGTAAAGCAGCGTGCTAAACCGCTAGACCACCGAGGCCAAATAAAACAATACAAATAGAAGTTAAAATTATTCTGAATAAATAGAAGAATTCTATTTTTAGTTAAATTCTATTTATAGGTCCAACCCAAGGTAACATCACACGTGTATTCATGGAAATCGATTAACCATTGACATTCGTAATCTCAGGACTCGATACGAACCTCGTGTTTCTTTATACGTGATTAGATTAAGATCTCGATTCGATTTACAAGTATCAGTGCTCCTCGAGGTCGACTGATTTACAATATGATTTGTTTATATGAGATAACAACGTATTTTGTTTATATTTATTTATTACTAACGGTGCCTGCGTCTTCACCCGTATTAAATTTATAGCCTATGTTATTCTGATGCTATATAGTAATATATGCTATATAGTAATATAACTTTACAGTAATATAAGCTATATTATTGTAAAGTTTTATCAAAATCCGTTCAGTAGATTTTGCGTAAAAGAGTAATAAATCCATCCATACTCACAAATTTTCGCGTTTATAATATTAGTAAGATTCAGTTACAATTTATATTGTTTTGAATTATAACATTTCTGCTGCTAATAAATTCATCAACATTATGAAAAGACTATCCCAGAAAAAAAGGACGCAATCTGCTTTTAAAAAATTCCAATTGTGTATTGACTATTGGGCAAAGAACCTTACTGCTTCGAAACCTTCAGCATCCTTCATAATATTAAGGGTCGGTTTTGTAATAGGGTAGTCCAGTCTGCGAGTGCTTTCCCGAATGCCTCTGTTTTCATTAACAAGACTATAACCATAACTGTTATCAATTAAATTTATAGACATCTTTAATATATATGTTCATACGTAATAGGTATATAGCCTATATTACTTGAGAATAATATACATACCTTTTAAAGAACAAAGAAAGCTCCAAATAGGTGCAGTGGGAATTTGCTTTCCAGATGACCCCTAATCTGAATGCTAAATCCCTATTATAATTAAATGAATTGGCTTTAAAAAAAGTTGAGCTGAGTTTTTGCCAGTTATTTTCAATTGAATCTGTATACTAAACTGGACGGTAAGGAAAAATATAAAAAAAAATTACGTTCATAAACGGCTAAAAGGTCCTACATGAATAAATTATTTTTTCTTTGATTTGATATAGATGATAAGCAATAGATAATTTAAATTTTCTCTATCTGCTAATTACATGCCATGAAATATTTTGAAATTTTCTTATTCTAGCTCTTTGAATGTTGTTGTTTTGTTTCCAGGCACGATGCTCTCCTGCCGCTTCGTTGTATTTTACTTCAGAAAATAGATGTCAAACAATGGACAAAGCTTCTGGAACTGCAATCACATATGGAATGCCGTATTCCTGGTAGCGAAGCCTACGAGTAAGTTATCTGTTTTTTTATTTTGCATCAGCCATATTAGGAAATTGACCTGATTCAAATTCAAAACATTTATTCAACGTATCAAAAATTAAGTATTAGGAAGTTTCAGTTGTCCTATGAATGTTTAATTATATTAAGTAATAACATGGAACTAATTTGCGGTTACCTGAATAGTTTTATTAACTGCTTTTATATTCTTACTTATTTGACTAATAATAAATATATGTAAGTGTATAAAATTTTCATATTTTTCAATTTCAGTGAAGCGAATGAATACATCGTAGAATATCTAATGAACCATTTTATATCGAAATTGGAAGACGAAATTAAGAATAAATATATACCCGAAGTTTCGCCTGCACTTATTCATAGAATGTGCGGAATCATTGACACAAATGCGCTTGAAATACGTCTTCCTGACGGCGCTGAATTACATGCATTATATACAAATACGTGCATAATGGAACATAGTTGTATACCAAATACAAAACACACTTTCATGCAATCGCCCAAAGATAAAAATGATTTATATAGAATTACAGTAAAAGTTGTAGTCCCGCTACAAAAGGAACATCATGTAACAACCATGTACACACATGCGTTATGGGGCACTCAGGCAAGAAGACAACATTTAAAGGATACTAAATATTTTGCATGTAGATGTACAAGATGCAGTGATCCTACAGAACTCGGTACTTATTTGAGTGCTATGAAGTGTCTTGGTGATGGAAATAATGAATGTGATGGTGTGCATTTACCAGAAGATCCTTTAGATGACGAAACCGAATGGGCGTGTAATAAATGTCCCATTAAAATAAATAGTTCTCAAGTAAATATGGTTATTACCCAAATGGGAGAGGAAGTAGAAAATGTTCAGATGGTTGGTGGCTCAGTACCAATTTTAGAAAGTTTGCTATGTAGATTATCTACATTTCTACATCCAAATCATTATCATCTATATTCTATAAAACATTCTTTAATACAGCTATATGGCAGACAACCGAGTTACACGTCCGTTGAAATCCTTGAGAAGAAAATAAAGATGTGCAAAGATTTGATTATTATAACAAGAGCTTTAGATCCAGGAAATGCTAGACTTAGTCTATACAATGCTGTGCTACAACATGAGCTACATTCAGCTTTATTATCAAAGGTAAAGGTGAAAATAGATTCATCTAAAAGAAATGTGGATCATATAGTCTCTATAACTACTGAAGCTAAAGTAGCTATAGAAAATGCATTAGAGTGTTTAAAAGATGATATCGATGAGACTGCTGGAAAAAAACTGTTTGAAGTTATTAAGAAGAGTAAAATGAGTTTTGATAAATATTGTAAGAAAAGAAAGCTGGGTTGTAAATAGTTTTATTAAATATACTTTAAATAAAAATTTGCACTATGTTGCCTTAAAATTAATATCACAGTTATTTCTTTGATAAACATAATGTCATTATTATATAATAGAATCTAATTACAAAATATATAATGATTTACAGAATATATATTAAAAATAATATTTTTTCTCAAGTTATGTCAGTTTAGGACAATTATATCATTGAATAAATTCTAGAAAATAATAAGTTGCTAGACAATGTAACGAAATTTTATAGTAGAACCTTATATTTTTTTCGGTTTAAGGAGAACTAGAATCATAATGTAGTTAATACAGATTAATTTGTCAATATCATAGCAGTATAACATATTAAATTGCTATAATGCATTATTCTTTGATTAAGTAAGCTTGTTCGCGATTCATTCTGACATAAAGATTGAATGCGAATATGAACATTTAAGTCATCAATCCTTGAATCAATATGAACCAAAATGTAAATACCAATTAAATCCAGATCGAACTTCATCACTTTCTGATCTGATCTTGTCATTATCAATACTCTGGATAATCCATTCGGTATATCTGGATACCCTAGTGTAGACTCCAGGCATTTGAGCCCTAGCACATCCATTGCCAGTGGAAACAACACCTACAACCATGGCGTGCAAGTTATCTTCACGAAACATAAGAGGACCGCCGCTATCAGCCTGCAAATAATATTGGAACTGCTTTACAAAATTCTGAGTAATCGGTCATTTAAGACAAAATTTCTTAAATAACTTTTCTTGAAGTAACATACGACAATGCAAAATAAATGTGGTACAAGCAATTATTGGAATCTTAAAATGATGAAATCGTAAAAAATAGGCCTTGGATAATTTTGAATGTGTTCTTGTCTAAAATAGTAACTTCTATATTGAATTACAAAGCGTTTCGATAGATATAAAACCAACTACTTGTGACTATATGAAGTAGATTATTTATACCATTATAATAGCAAACAAGCTTACATATCTAATATAGCAATGGCACGTAAGGACATGCACAATTTCTTTTTAGAAGATTAGAAATTCTTCGCTTCCGTATTCTAAAATTACAGGGTATATCTCAGTCTTCATACTAGAACTTAGCCTGCAAAGTTAACTGCTTAATACAATAGACATAGGTGGTACTGAGAAAACTTCGTGCCAATTTTTCTTTTAAATAGTAATCTTTATTATAATAAACTGGCCGATACAATTTTCCTTACATTTTTTCTAATACTTACCCAACAAGAATCTCGACCACCTTCTTTATGACCTGCGCACATCTGCGTCGGAATCACCTTGATCTTACTCCCTTGTGAATGGTACCATTCATTACATTGGTCATTTGTGACTACACGCACGTTGGTCTTCTGAAGAATATTAGGTCTTGACCCTGGTAATATGTCAGGCAATTAAAAGCAGTTGGCAGACACTTGCAAATCTAAATACGCTAACTCTGCCGCACGCTTGAGTAAGAACGATTGAACGAGGTAGTACGCTTTGCTATTTCATTATCAAAGAGGTAGCCAAGTATTATCTAGCTATGAAAATATAATTGGTGATATGTGAAATGATAATTTTATTATACAACAAAACGGGTTTTATTAAATATGTAAATATATTAGGTTTGCAAAGTGAAAATATATTAAGTAATTCACAATTAAACTTGCGTTTATATTATTTACTGTAAGATACTTTCAAAAACATTCTCAATTTCTCCAATGATCCCCCAGATATTGATAAGGTCTATTTTCCGGAATATTAAACTTTTTTTTATTTTATAATTAAATTATGTTGATAAAATCATGGTGTACCGTACTATGATCAGTTATAAAAGCACCAAATGTTTGTTTGGTATACGAAATTTTTCAAATATTCAGATACTCAAATCAGTACTGATAAAAATTTAGTGTCGTTAAAGTATAAACTAAAGATCCTGAAATCTTCTCGTAGTAGGTTGGATTTAATAATGAAATTAGTTCTTAACATGATATCTAGAAGTCCTCTAATGGGGCAAGATTACAAAAATAGTTTTATGACATGGTTTGTGACATGACATTTTACTGACTCATGCCACTCCTCATATTAAACAGGATAAAAATTCTATAGATTCATTGTAATATAATCGATCAAATATTTCATAAAATCATAAACAAGTAATATTGAACAAACACGAGTGCCGGAGTGCTCCCGCGGGAAAACGAAGAGCGAAATGGAAAGTTCTAAACCCGGATGTTTACACGAATTTAATTTTTAGTTTGGAAAAAATTGATTAGACAAAAAACAAAAATATAAAACTTTGTCAATGTTAAAATGTTACTCTAATATACATATTTTTCGAGGTATCTTTCTATGCAATAACTAATACATATGATCAAAATAAAATTGCACTGGTTATGTTTGGTACAAAACAAGTATTATTAGGGTAGGGAAATAATTAATACTTAAAACACTAATATTGTAAAGAGACCTGAATTTAAATTACATACGGTACGTCACCGTGCAACCGTTCGCATTTGACACCATTCTACATCCATATAACACCCAAACATCCCGTTGTCACTTCAGTACACATAACTAAGCATCCAGTCCACATTCAAGCATCGTGTACTCAATAAATCAAGTTAGCACGCAGTCTGGAACTTGGAATTTATACAACATTATATCATCCAGATTACATGAGTCACACTCATATATCTTTATAGTCCTTCGAGCCGGATTTTGAAATTGTGTACGGAAGCTAGGAGTTCGTCTATTGGAACTCATTGACGATGGACATTGAGCTCAAAGAAAATATAATGAGTCCCAAAATAAATACCAATATTCCTATCTTCGTTAGTGAATCCCCAACCAGCTACAGTGGCTAATGCTCCACTGAAGTCATCAGACAGTGCCTGCGGTAGGCACGCGGGTCGTAATGCGTTCGTCCATTGCAGTTGGTTGGCGGTTTTCAAAAGAGCGACATCATTTGACTTTCGATTGCATCTAAAACAATACATTGGTTATATAATGTAATTCTATCACTGCAATAGCTCTAAATTAGTAACTTGTTTTACAGTACCAGTAATTTATTAATTATTTAAATCTTTATTTATATGTTTCTATTAATTATATATGTTAAAAATACACTGCTTTGTCGTAAATATTTTGTACGAATAGATATATTTTAATTTGAGTTTTTTTTATTTATAACACTTTCATAATTGCAGCCACATTAAACGGAGATATATAAAATTAAAATATAATCTAGACTATTTATTAAAAACACTATTTACTATGATTATAAATACAGAAAAAAAAACAAATAATTTGGTTTCAGTTATGAAAAAACAACTTTCTATTACCAGTATCTAATCGTCTTACGAACAATATTTGTCGTTTTAAATACTAACGATTAATTCTGTCAAATCAAGATGCTTATAAACAAAACTTTTGCTTAAATTTTAATTAAATTGATTATAATTTTATTTGAAACTGCTTTGTGGAATTACGTACGCTCGCGTTTTGTCGTTTGATTTTGAACAGATAAAGCCAAGAGTTTGGTTATTAATAAACATTCCATGTTTTGTGGACTAATCGAAATATTTTCATTAAATTATCTTTGAAACTTATTGAATTTGTTGATTGTTGAATCTCGCTTGTAAAATACCTATCGCTTTGTTTCTTACAATTTAAACAGTAAATAAAATAATTTAAAGATCATATTAGAGAGTATATTAAGAGAACAATTTAAAGTCTATTAAATTTGCTGGAATTTGACCTATTGATTATATTGATCATTTAAAAATTTAAAAATATATACCATACATAAAAGACATTATTGAAAATCTCAAGTGTAGCTATTAAGCAAAGATTAAAACTTTTACATCAGTTCCGTAAATTTGTCATTTTTAAAATAAATATTGAATATTTTCTTAGGTACATACTTGTTCGCACTTACCTGTAATCTGGATGAGGTACTATCAGGGACAGTGGTTCTTTAGACTTGGTCGACGAAATGTCAGTAAAACCAACAACGACCGTCAACTGTTTAGTTTTGTAGAACTCGTCAAAGGCACTGAAATTTAAAGATATGGTTGTCTATATTTTTTTAATAAAGATTATTTACCTCCGTGAAGGTCTACTCAAGCAGCACTAAAAACTAAACCGGTATTAAAAACATATTTTTATAGAGTAAGACTCTCACACGCTCCCTCGTCGAGGGAGGACGGTCTTTTGAAGATGTTTCCACGACAAAAAAAGTATTTAATATTTTAAAGTGAGAGAAAGGTTGTTATGAAGAAACAAAATTCTGTACTTTGAAATTTCGCTGTTTAATTTTAGTTTGAAAGGTATGTATACAAGAAATAATGTATTCTTAGTAATCTTCTCAAAAAAATTAATAAGAACATAGAAATGTAAGTTCCTTTAAATAATTCTCACTAAGCTTGTGTTATGGGTACTAGACAACTGATAGAACTATATTTTTTAGTAAATACTTACATTATATATATAGAAAAACCCAGTAAAATCAATACAAACAATCATACTAATGAATTCAAATGTTTGCATAGTGCGAGGATTCGAACCCGCGGTCATTGGAAGTAACGCTAGACCACCGAGGCATACAAAAATCATTCTCTAATTTTCGTAAGATTTTTAGTAAGTTTCTACTATACCTACGGTAATCAATTAAACATCTTATTGATATGGAAAAAATATTATAAGGTGTATTATTCTCTCCCATACCTACAAACACAATGTCCAGCAGTAAGCAGCCACCTGTCAGTTAATACTGTCGCGCCACATTGGTGCGCACCCTGACGCCAGATGCTGGCAGCCCAGGGAAATTCGGCGGGCAGGCTATTCTCACCGCCCACTATACGGCCGCGTCTGGCTGTGCTTATGCCGCATTCGATGTTAGACACTGAAACATTGGTATATGTAGTTTTTGTCATATGACTGTGGATTGACAGGAAAGACAACCAATTTCTATGAAGCTTTTTAGAGTTAAAAAATAATAATACCTCTGGACTATTCATAAAACGTCATCTGGTCCCAAGGTAACAGCCTGTATTATGAATACTAGACAGCTGATTTATATATATAGATATTTTTTTATAAATACATACATAATATACATAGAAATGGGGTAATGGGATTTTCAGTAATGTGGACTAATGAACCCACCCATGCTAGCAATGAACCATGTCAGGTTGACTTTTATGCGGTTCCCCCTTGAAACCATCATAATAAGTTCCTGGTGAATTTGTTACGATGGACTAACTGACGCCTTATCAACCTCCACTGCTCATCTTATCATCCTCCACTGGTTTTCGACCAGAGTAAAGCGTTAGCGCAGTCGTGTCCATTATCATTAATAATAAAATACATATAGAAAATACCTAGACCGTTATAAAACAATTATACTCATTAACACAAATATTTGTACTGTGCGAGGAAACGAACCCGCGACCGTCGGAAGGAAAACGGTGTGCCAAACCTCTAGATCACCGAGGCCGTCAAATTATTCATATAAAATAAAATTCTACTTCTGCGTTGATGTTGTATTATATATATATATATATATATATATATATATATATATACATTTTAAAGTATTTCATATTTTATTTCAATAATATAAATAAGATTTAATGAAGTAATTTAATTTATTTACAGGTATTATCATAGTTAGTTATTAAATGTTTAATTGTAAAATATTGAATAGATCATAAGTTAAAGTTATAAATATTAATTAGTTATGGTATTTATTTAAACGTAATTAACAATGTGACCTAGGATACCGCTAGGTAATTTTTCATAAGTTCGTAGTAAATAATGGCATATTATAAAAAAAAGTAAGTATATTATTTAAGAGTTTGGGAGACAGACAGACATCATGTTTATAGTTATTAATTTATTTCATATTCCTACTAATACTACTACAACAAAACTATAAAATAACTAATATAGATAAAGCGTAAATTTACGCAGTGTTTTACACAAAAATGGATTTTGTATTCATTTATGAGACATATTTACTTATGGAGCAGTTATACAATTTTTTATACATGTTATGAAATATGTATGAAACACGATGTTTTTGCGCGAAAATGTCGCAAACACAATACGTTTTGCGACATATACGTTGCTACAATGTGTTATTGAAAAATCATATTTTTCAGAAAACACATTTAAAGTTTGTTCTTAGTGGTAAATATTTTTCTTTGCAGTTTAAGAGCATTGTCATCATCATCATCGCAATGTATTAGCAATTAAATTAAGTAAATATTATAGAATATCCTCTGTGAATTAATGGTTTAGGTCACCAGCTTACTTTCGATGGTATCAGGTTTGATTTTTGGAGGAGACAAACATTTAAACTAAATTCATGTCTTGAACAAATACTATTTACATACGCTTTGTATACATCTGTTTTATATTTATATGTATTTATAAAACTATCTGCATAAATTATTTAGTTTAATTTGTCCCATTATTAGGTACAGATTAAAATATTATATTAAATAATTATAGCTTGCTAACGTACTTATCTACTGGGATAGAAACTATATTGTGATATATTAATATTTATTATAAATGTAATTTTTATTGTTTAGAGTCATTATATATTAATATATATATTAAAATATTATTAATAATTATTATATTAAATAATTATAGCTCAAATATGCAATAACGTACTGTATCTACTGAGCACTACATTTTGATAGAGATCTCTTTTAGAGATAAGTCCTTTAAAAATAAATCATAAAATGTAGAAGAAAAAGAAAAATAGTACTTACGATTAATAAAACAAAATCCATTATTGAAAAGCAACAATAACACAACAGTAAGAAACAAACGACACATTTTCACGGCTACTAATTATTATCTGTAGATGATGACACTTGTATCGTTGTATTTATATTTCCTCAATACTAACTAGGTCTAGGATAAGTAAAATAAATAAATATAACTAAAAATAAAAAATAAATATAATATAATAAATCAGTGCACACACCCTATCGAAGTGTGTGCACCAATGATCAATAAGGAATACACTTAAGGATTTATAAAGATCTAATAACTTGTACTGAAATGACCCTCCGTTGGTTTGAAGGTCTGACCCCTATATACAGTTTAGTGATGCTACACTGTAGTAGAACGCGTAGTCGATATTTATGCAATGTATTTTTCTTTTAATAATTGTAAAATAGAAAAGATTTATAATTTTTAAAACGTAATTCATAGATATATATAAATTATAAATTTGAAGCAATATAGAAGCTTACCTATATTACCGTCTACCGGCATTATATGATTCATTAACCAAGAAAGAAAGTAGTAGTATGAATGCTATAATACATATTATTATTTATTTAAATTCGGATTACATCCATATTGTGTTAGTAAAAACTTATAAAACTATGTTAGTAACTTATAATAATACAGAGATACATTTAATTCATATTTCTGTGTCCACGTCCAGAAGCACTGGGTCCACAATGCAACGATATCCAGTGCCAGCAGACAATCAGATATACTCGCAACAGTTGTTAGGATGCTATTTATGCTCCCCCGAATTCTAGACATCAGTGATGCAGCTCTTTTGCGCATTATGGCTTGAAATCCATCTGCACGCGCCGTGCAAACATCTCTGATGAGAGATTATATTCGTATATAGTAAGAGTATACTATATTATTACTACGTTTCTTAGAAAAAATATAAAGTTTTAAAAGAACACAATTTAAATTTTCAATCTAATCCATCGTTTAAGGGCAGTGTTAGTTGAATACTTTTTTTATACATACTTATACCTGTGTTTATTACAAGTAGCACATATTATATAATATTGGTCGATTGGAGGGAAAGGGGATTGTTAGTGGACTGTTTATCCTATTGCTAGCAATGTATTTCGTTAGGTTGATCTCCACACGGTTCCACTTAGAAAAACTGTCATGCTAAATCCGTGGCGAATTTATCGCGATGAGTCACTGAGTTGACTTCATGTTCATCTTATCATGCTCAGCATATACCGTTAGTGCAAGATGGGTACACCATTCTATAGTCATATTTAAAAAAATATAAGCCAATTTCAGATTTTTTTTAAATAAGGCACGTGTATGTTTACTTATCATTTAAACGAACTCAACAAAATTCATTGCCCTCTAATTTTAGAATATATAATTTTATATGTAGGCCAATGTCAAGCTAATTTACATTTGTATATTGTGATGATACTATACAATAATATATTTTTGAATTATCCACTATGGTCACCTTTGGCACAGCCTTCGTTTGTTCTTTAAAAGACGTTATATCATATAAATACAGATTATGAAAAAAGTGTGAAGTTTTTATTAGTTAGTCCTTTGTGTAGGAACACTATTATGTTAAATAGGTATTATATATGTAAATATATTCATTTATTCTTTTTGGAGTTCCTTGCCCGAGTAGACAACGAAACAATTTTTAGATAGATACTTTATATTATAGATTTTTAAGAATAAAATAATGAAAACGTTTTTTGGTCAAATAATGAGTAATTTTATAAAATTACTATAAAATTTACAGAAAATGATATTTGAATGTTATTAATAATATATAGTCTATTCATTTTTATACACGTATTTATATCGTCGAGAATTAAACCAACAACCCAGTAAGGCGGTGTGATACATTGCTAAATTATCCGAGAAAATCAAATATCACATAAACTAATAGTCTCTATAGTAAGCAGTATAATAATATGATATTAGTAATAAAATACTAGGATCCTCCTTACTAGCCAGTTTAATATTAAAACAATCTAGTGAAAGAAAGAAGGATAAAAATAAGTACAAAAAACATTTTGGTTACGAACAGCAATCTTATATATTCTGTGGTTTGGATAAGTTACAAAGTCACGTCTAGTAAATATGTGGCTTGGAAGAAAAACAATATGCACGAGTTACCTACCAAGCGAGATCGTGTACTCTTAAATTAAACATTGCTTAAACTGTAATACTGAAAGAGATAGATTTATTATATAAAAATATACTTACTAGCATTAGATTGTTTTTTTAAAACCGAAAATTTACTTACTACTCCTTAATGCCATATGACAATTCTACAAGTTAACCATTAGGTAAAAACAGAAGCCACTGAAGAGATAATAAATAAGAGAAATGGATGATTACACTGTATAAATGCCTTCCGTATACGTGAATTTTCCAAGTGTATAAAATAAAAAAAGGTTTAAAACCGTATTTATACAATATATAATTAATAAACTAATATAACTCTATATTTATTTCAATTTATTACATACTACTCGCGAATTTTTATGACTATAAACGTTTTATCGACCTCGATAAAATGTTAGTTGTGATTTTTTTATGCGCATCACTACGACCATTTCATTGTCAGGTTCACACAACCTCAGCCGATAACAGCGATAACGAAAGCGGAACTTGCAGGTTGTCATCCGTCAATAATACATGGGTTGGTATTCACGAAATATTTCCATACAATGCCAAATGAGACACAAAATAGGGTGAGTATGTTTATGATCTTAATAATATTATAAAAGCGAAAGTTTGTGAGTATGGATGTTTGTTTTATTACATGATGTCAAAAAGTAAAAGGCTTAAATGTTTTATATCAAAAATGTTGTATATTGATATGGTTATATTTTTTATTGAAATGTCCTACACCCTTTGCAATATTTTGATTTTGTCTATTACTTCGCCACTTGACTGAAAATATAAATGTTGAAAATGAAAAATGAAAAATTTTTTTTTGCATTACACTCATATTCATTGTCATTTATTATTTTTAATATATTTTTTTGTATATTTTATTTATAAATATGTCCCAATATGTTACTAATGCCATGGTATATTACTACAAATGAGTGAAAATCTGATTGCAGTTTTTACTTGGTCAAGTGTACACACATCCATACTATCTTGTGCCACTTATATTTATTAATAAGATAATATACGCATCTATATATATTTTAAAAATCAATATATATATAACAAATCAGTAATTTATCTCCGTTCATAAAAACACCCATACACGACAACCTAGCCAGATTCTCCTAAGGCGCCACAAACTTAAGAGAGACGATCCCACATAAACACAGTTAACAAATATAATAAAAGAAGAATTTTTAAAAATAAGTAGACTTAATACAAGCTAAAAACGTTATTTTTCTATATAAATTAAACAGTTATCGACTGGTATGAGGAGATAAATTTTAAAACACTAATATTGCTATTTAAAAATAGGGGTTGATGGTAGAGACATGAAAGGTTAGAATTATATTATATGTTGGTGGTTTTAAAATATATAACATCCGCAACTGAGTCGGCAAACGTTGTTTTGCCTTAAAATCGAAAAAAAAAAAATTGATTTCCTGGACTACATGCCTACACATTTATATTAAAATATATAGATGTTGGCCGATTCTCAACCTATTCCCGATACGCTAAAAAAATTTCATTTTGAATCGGTTACTAATATTATAAACGGGAAGATTGGAAGATGGATGTATGGATGTTTGAGAATTTTGTATATAAGATATAAAAAATCGTGTTGGCTATCCTTAACACTTAGGGGAATGAAAAATAGTTTATATGCTATTTTCTTTATTCTCAGACGTAATATATGAGAAAACATAATAACTCTTATTTATTCACTTATTATATATACAAAATATCATAACAATTGGTCAAGCCGTTTTCGAGGAGTTTTATTACATGATGTCCAGTGTAAGGAATAATACAGCTATGACAATATATATTTGTATGACAATACAACTTTGTAAATGTTTTATATCAAAAATACGATAAGGTATTGTCGTTTATTGTATTACGAGTATATATTGAAATGGTATAAAGTTTTTTTTCCTAAATCTCCTACACCCTTTGAAATATTTTGATTTAGTCTATTACTTCGCCAGCTAGACTACAGTAACTTTTGCTAATTAGAATAAAAGCTTTATTCATTTCAATAAAATATATACGCATATACCAATATAGATACATATTTGGCTCTAGATACAAAAATATTTAGGCCCGAATATGTATGTATATTTTCTAAAAGGTAAATTACTATATCATGACTGAGTTATATTCATTGTCATTTATTATTTTTAACATATTTTTTGTATATTTAATATTTATAAATATGTCCCAATAGTTAGTAAGCCATGGTCATCCTACAGTAATGAGTGAATATTGATTGCACTTTACTTGGTCAAGTGTATACATAATTGGAACTATCTTGTGCCATTTACCTATTTATCCAAAGGCTTAGTACTAATCATACTTGACACGATATCATTACAACAATCAATAATTTACATAACAAACTAGAGTCATTTACTCTCCGTTCATAATAAACACCCATAACTTCTTCTTCATCCTAGCTGCTTCCTGTTAAGGGGGTCGGCTTTCCCTATCTTGAAGCGTCGTGCATTTCGATGACATTAAAAAACACAGTTAACAAATATAATAAAAACAACAATTTGGTTTAACTTATCTATGACTTAATACAAGGATAAAAAACACAAGGTTTCCTAACAACTAATCTAATTATCAGCAGATTAATATGAGTCAAAAACCTTATCATAAACGACCTTAGTTTTAAAAATAAAAAGACGGAACTGCAATTGCGGAAAAGTTGTCTGTTTGTTTTGTATGGCGGCGATAACTCCGCAACTGAGGTCGAGGCAAGGCCTGCCTGCAGTCGAGCCTCACCCGCATTGATTTCCTTCAACATACATGCCTACATATTTATATTAATTATATATAGAGATTTTAAATGCCCATAATAACAATATTCCCGAAGGAATAAAAAAAAAGCATTTTTGCTAATATGT